CCTGCGTCGTGCTCCTCGGCTCCCTGCTCCCCGAGACTATACCTGCGTGGCCAGCCCGCCTGCGTCGTGCTCCTCGGCCCCATGTCGCCCGAGACGTGCTCGACCTCATGTCGCCTGAAACTACCGCGGTACCGGAGGCTGAAGCCATGCCTCGAACTCCCCCTTTTTGCAACAACCGACACATAGCTTCTTTCGGGGGTGGGGGGGAATATGATGAGGGTAATAATGGCGACATGACGTGCCCCGACGTCAGCCACGCCTGGATGACGCCTCGCGCCTCGATCAACCCGACAGCACTCGGTCAAACTGACCGGAACACCAACCGAGGCACGCCCATGCCCTGCGGTAGTTCGGTTCTTCACGCAACGCCAACGACAACGTCAGACGCCATTAGAGGTACCAGCCTGCCCCTGCAAGCGGGCACATCAAACAATAGCAAGCTTCCCTATAAATACTCTCGCACTCTGAGCAAGGAAAGGGGGACACACACATACAAGCACTTCTTTTCTTGAAACCCCCTCCAGATCCTCCTCTAACTTGATCGTTGGAGGGGTCGGGTCGAGCACCCCCGCCCGACCTTTGTGCAGGTGCGAAGTCGAAGGTCCCCGTCAGTCCCGCAGGCAAGGAGTTCCTGCCTGGAAGAAACGGCGACCCCGTCCCGATCGGACACCGCCCCCGACCTCCTAAACGGGCTCGAGGAGCACCTCAGGGAGATCCCCGTCTTCCGGACCCGAACTGAGTCGCGTCGGCCCCGAGGCCACGGCTCAAAGTTGTTTCCCACAACACTATTTATCCATACTTTGAATCATAAGTAAACTTTTAGAGTCTAATGGAATGATGATTTAAAAATACCTATTAAATATGTTTAATCATATCGTTAATTGCTTTAATCAAGTCAATATTTCTAACTTTGAATCCAAGTAACCAAATTTTCCGGCAGACTAAATTGTATCAACTACTTTTATGATCCAAATCTCATATTATTCAAATAAGAAAATAAAATATTTAGAAGATATACGGATACGATAGTTAAAAAATAAAAATAATTAATATTAATGATACAACAAAAGAAAGAGATTTTGTATCACCCAATAATATTGTACTGTGTCAGCTGCCGCCATGCATAATCGTCCATTCCATCCGTAGTACTCGAGTACGTCAAAAGTACTCAACGAGTTAACGCTAAAGGTACGATATAATTAATTCAAATAATTAAGATTTCATAAAATAAAAGATGAAAATTTAAATGAAATAATATGAGGAGTTGGGTTAGATGTGATGCGATTGTTTTATCCAAGTGGTTGTGTGATGTTTATCATTTTTCTTTAAAAATATAAATATCTATTTTAATGTTATAAATAGGTGTTTTTGGACTAACGTTACGGATTCAAAGTACTCATTCTATTATCTTTCTCTCGAGTGATTGGAAGGACTAATGTAATTAGAGACTGATTCAAAAACGATCAACAGAAATATATATGTTGATTAAAAAAGAAAAAACTAATAGACCAAGAAGGTAAAATAATATATATGACTAACATTGGAGTAAATATTCCTAATCAATTTCTTCCTATCTTCAAATGTAAAAATTATTAAGTTTGGATCATTAAAACGAGAACTCTATTTATTTCATTAAGATTATAGAATTTGGTAGAGAATAATTTTGTTGAGTATGAGATACAAAATCATAAAATTATCAAAAATTAAAAAAATCAAATGAATAATAACATATAGAAAGATACAAGAGCTCCCTATATGCTACAATAAGAAATAGATAAGTCTTTATTTTCCTGAAATATGTCAGCACCAATAACTAAAAAATATTAAAATGTGTGTTTAGAGGTATAGACAAGGTAAAAACTTTAAAATTTTAATTTTTTTTATATGAATTCAAAACTCTTATGATGAAATATTCTAAATCTATCATTAATTTTTTTCTTAAAAGTATTTTATATTATAAACCAAAAGAAGGTATGTGAAAACCTAGAAGATTAAACAGTAGTAGAAAAAATATTATGAAATTTATCTCCAAAATTTAATTTTGTTTCTACTAGTATAGAAGAAGCTAAAGATATAAATACATTACCTGTTCATAAATTAATGAGCTCACTTTTAGTTTATAAAAAAAAAGTGAATAGATTTTTAGATAAAACTTTAGAACATGCTCGAAGAAAGATCAAAAGAAAAATTCAAAAACTATATCTTAAGGAAGAGGTTAAAATGATAAAGGGACCTGACGATTGAGGCAGGAAACGAGGTCGATCAAATAAAAGTCAAAGGAACTCCAATAAAGATAACAAAGAAATCTATCAATGTTTTTATTATAAAAAAAATTAGACATATTTGAAAAAACCTACTGAAAAAAAAATTAAAAAAAATCTAAATGTTCATATATGTTCTCATTTTAAAATATATAGCCATGAAAAAGATTATTGGAATAAAAAAAATATTTTCATGAAATAATAATAATAATAAATATATATATTTTTTATAACATGTGATGAAGAATATTTTAGATTTGTTTAGTTTCTAGATAGTGAATATAGTAATCATATGATATGGGATAAAAATTTATTTCAAAAGTTTGATAATTCGATCGTTCAGGTGTAAGAAAAATAAATAGTTATTGTAAACATCGGTAAAAAATTTATTGACGACGTAATGTTTATTCTTAGTTTAAAATAAAATCTCATTAGTATTAAACAACTAATTATAAAAGGATATTATGTTCTTTTTTAGATAAAAATAAAATAATAGTAATTATGAGGATGATAAAAAAAATAAAATATTTTTTTTATTATTTTTAAATTTCTCTGTATATGTATTTATTACTGTTGTTATTTATAAATAGATATTATGGTAAAGAAGATATGAAATTATGATGGACGTAGTATAAAACACTCATGCTCAGCCATTCGCCACCACAATTGAGATCATGCATGTCCTTCCAACGCAACATCCAAATCTCTCCACGTCAACATCTTGCATTAACATCGAATTAAGAAACCATCAAGGTTGGTTGGTGATGCTTCATTTCTAGAGGACCTACGTGTTCCCCGGTATCATCAAGCCGGCCCAGAGAGAGAGAGAGAGCAATGAAAAGGACCCATGAGTTATGTGGAAGAAGATATATATGAGATGAATAATGACGACAAGCCATGGGACAATGCGTAAGAAAACATTGGCAACGAGGGGGAGGTTGAAGAAAGGTTTCACAGAAAGGCCGAAACCCTAGAATGTGATCGGCCCTACCAAGATTTTGCCTAAATGTTCCCACTGATCGAGATGTTGACCTCTTGATTTGTTTGACATTGCTTAATAAGTGAAATAATTATGTGGTGGTTGTCAACATGTGTTCTCTCTCTCTCTTGAGAGAGAGAGAGAGAGAGAGAGAGAGAGAGAGAAGTGAAGTTTGTTCCTACCTGACCTAAGAAATAGAGGTACAGATGAGACTTTGTTTTGCGTTGGGAGCATTTCTTGATACAGGTCTTTTGTTCTAAGGTGTGGTCAAACTCGACACTGATATGATTGAAAGATCCAAATAGTCGTTGGATAAGATTCTGCAATCCAAGAGCCTACTCTAGTTGTTTCTCGGTCTTCATCTGTCGAAGCTTGTTTACTGTCAGTGGCACCTTCCTCTATTATTTTATGTGTCAGTTTTATGTCATCTACAGCATTGCATTCCTGCATGATTTCAGCTTCGAGTATTATTTTCCATGCTTAATTCATGATAGATGTAGCCATTGCAGCAAGTTAACTGGACGACACTTGCATCGACACTGGCTTTGCATCAAAATCCGATGGTGACTACGAACACCCGAGATAAGCCTACCCCACTTCAGAGTTTGCATCAAAATCAAATCAGAAAACAAGGATGAGACGTTTCGATCCCTGAACGACGTCAGCAGATGTCCAGGTCATGAAGGGCGGACAAAATCCATAGATTTTGTCGGATGATGGATTAGTGCCACCTGTTACATGATCTATGGATGCTTGCGGGCCGTCCAACGTCCATTTTGGGCCTCACGCGAGCCTTATTGGGCCGATCAGATTCGGCTTGCTTCGGAACGGTTATGATGATCAGACGCCACGTTCTCCGCTAATTAAGCCGCCAAAATGGAACGGACACGTCCCGTCGCTTCCCGTTATTTTCCTTCGTGCTGTCGCTTCTCCGCCATCAAACCTTCTCGACTTCTCCCTCCCTGAAACCCTTCCCGAGTCATTGTGCCGGTCACCGAAGAAAGGAGAAGAAGAGAGACGTATGGCTTCGTCTTCCGCCCTGTGCATCATCATGATGACCACCATGTGCTCCCTCGTCGGAGCCACCAACCTTTACAGGGTTGGCGACGCCGAGGGATGGCGGGAGCCGGACAAGAACGACGCCGCCATGTACGACACTTGGGCTGGCAAGTACGCGTTCCGCGTCGGCGATTCGCTCGGTGAGTGCTTCGTGCGTGCTCTGCCAGTGCAGTAACAGTAAGTGATGGCGCTTGAATTGCTTGACTCACTTGCAGCGTTCGACTACAAGAACGACTCTGTCGTTAGGGTCAGTAAACGAGGATACTACCATTGCAATGAGACCGGAGGTGGGTCGGCGTCCAAGGACGGCAGCACAGTCTTTCTCCTGGACCAGCCCGGATTCTACTACTTCGTCAGCGGCGACGTCGACCACTGCAAGAGGGGACAGAGAGTGATGATAGAGGCATTGGATGCTCAGCGACCTCCTGCGGCTGCCGGGCCGGCGCCATCTCCGCTTCCGAGTTCTGCAGTCTCATGGACAGCAATAGCTGCGTCTCTTCGTGACATGGTGGCGCTTGGTTCCCTTCTATTCGTGGCTTCTTACTGCTCATATCTATCATAGATAGTGTCTCTGTTTCGTTTAGGCTTACCAAACGAGGGATTATAGTTGAGATCTTTGGTGTCTGCTATATTAGTCTGCAACTTCTTCAAGTGTTTTCTTAATCTTCGTGTTGAATGTGATGTTTGTAGTCAATGTTATGAAACCAGAAATGCTTCTACTTGTTCTTCATGTTGTAACTATATTCAGCCAACATTACAGAATGGACAGACAATGGCAGGGTTGAATACTAACCCCTGCACAAAAGTCAACTTTGATGATAGACAGAGAAGGTTCATTGACAAAGGAAGAAACGTCAACAACCAAGGTCAAGGGTCACAATTACGAGAGATCACTCCCTGCACCAAAAAAAACCCCTCGAGCTAGGAACATAATCTGGCCATCCATGTAAAACACTCATGGCTTGAGTCGATCGGTCAGGGCTGTGCACTTGTTGATCTCCTTGGTTATGGCTGGAATGCAACTTGAGCTCCTCGTGATCCCCCCTTTCTTGACCCCTTCCCTGTCCCTGGGGCTGCTAGACTGCGCCCTTCCCGCTCTCGACGACTTCCTCAGGAGCTCTCTCATGGCGTCCGCCTGGTAGAGCACTGGGTGCGTCCGCCCGATCCTGTTGAACCTCACGCACACGCTCATGTGTGCCTCGAGAGCCTTCTGCTGCTTCCCTCCGTTCTTCACCATCTCCTCCTTAACCGCCTCCGAGCACAAGCCACATATCCACTTCCCGGAGAACTTCTCGCGCACGCGACCGATGTACTCGGGCGTACACTCCTCGGACATGCCGCAGCACTCGCACTTGGCGTCCTCCACCTCGGATATGGGCGGCAGTGCTGTTTCCACAGCCTCTTTGCCGAGCTGGAAGGAGAGGTCGGATATCGCCCTCTGAAGGCCCTCCATTGAGATCCTCCGAGGCCTCTGGGGAACGTCGGGCTTGTTTCTTGGGTAGGAAGCGATTAGCGTCTCTCCATTGGGTGCCATTGGTGAATGGTGGTATCTATCAGCATGACTTGGTGACTCCAACCTACACCTCTATTTATAGCAGTGGCTGAGACGAAGACGTGAAAGAGAAGGACTTGAAACCCTAGACTTTTCGTGAACATACATAGCAGTAGTTTATGGCTATGAATGCATAAACAATTCTTTAATTCCTAACCTCAATCTTCTGAGTGGCTTTAAACCACTTTGGTAATCCTTTTTGTTTACTTACTCACATGAAAAATCTTTCGTTGGTTGGCTGTCATTAATTAAGAAAACCCATAATCTTCATCGTGACACGATTATTCGTCAAAGCAAGCAGACTTGTCGATGGAACAACTCGATTTCGAGTAGGTAATAATTACAGAAAGATGTTGATGCCAAAAAGCTTCACATGCAGATCAATCCCGGCCATGTATGCGACGCTGCATGACGGACATCATACGTAGCTAGATCAGCATGGTGACTTGGTTCCTTTCAGGCCATGGATTGGCACATCAGGCATTCACGAGAACCCTGGCGAAAGCGGGAAGATGAAGGAAGTCTCCAAGAAGTCACAGAAAGTTTGAGCAAGTGAGGTTTGTTTCCCTGCTGCGAACTTGGACTCCTTGGTCATCATCAGTGCTTTTAGATACTCATGGATGCATGCCACTTAGAAGGCTGTTTTAGGGTTAAGTTGATGAAGAGAACACGCTCCGCATGCTTGGCGAGGAGAAAGAAGGTTTTGAGTTCTTGTGTGGGCAAGATGTACAAGCTCCACTCCATGCTTATCTCAAGCTTGGTATGTACGAAAAGATTATCGTATAGATATGTTATCTCAACACTCTATGGTCGACACATAGTACTATAAAACTGATACTCTAGCATCATATGGTTGACATCTCATCGTTACATGATCGACACTTTAGTACTATGAGACTAATATCTTAGTATCACGTGGTTGATATCTCGACTCAATGGACTAAATATTATCATATCTCGTATTTGGTGCACCACGATGGTAATTAATTTCAGATGAGACACATCATCTTCCTCGTACTCTATGGCTACTACAAGAGTAATAGTATTAGGAGTTCACTATAAAATTATTCCTTTCGTACGTCTTGAGATACAAACCTCTCTATCAAAAATATAAATAAAAAATATAAGGTTCGATATAATCGGAATCGGGCAATGATTGTGTTGATTGAAATCAACTCAGGACAAGTATGAAAGGACCTTTGATTGACTCTCCGTTAGAGACTGACAATCAAAAATCAACTTAACAATACTCATACGGAGAAAAGCATGCAAATATTATTGTGGCAGATCTAACTATTACATGTACATGAGGATTCATATTCGGCATTTCGGGTCGGATTGGACATCTGGTTCGTGATATCTGATCCATTTATACGTATAGCATAATCACCGAGTTCATAAGATACCGTCTTTGGAAGCTACTTAGGAGAGTGCCATAGTGCACGAAAAGATCTTATCACCATTAATGGTGCGGACCTTAGCATACACCAAAGAACAGCCAGTAGGTGATGGCAGCGTCACAGTCACAATCACAATCTGTGGCTGGCAAATGTACCATCACCCAAATGGTCAGATGTCACCGTTGCAGCTTGCAAATGATTGTTTGTATGATATGATTGATTAATTATGTTGCATGTGTGTCTTATGGCTTAAACATTTCCTGATCATAGCTTTGTTCATCCTTGTCCTCCTCAAGCTCTGTGTTTTCTTGTTGAGAACTATAGAAATGGATATATGTCTACCATATGTCCATGTTAAGATGTGAGAAGGATTAGAAATATATCTGCAATAATTGAGCTATAAGCTCATGCATGGTCATTAATCTTGTTTTCTTCACTTGCCTAATTAGTGATTAGGCCTTTCTCTGTCACACTATAACTTTTTCTTTTCTCGCTCTTATCTCCTCTTTTAGACCAGCCATTGCTGGATCTCAATCGTCTCCACCTCTACAAAGGCAAAGTTCACATACTTTAGGAAATGAATAATTGATTTGGGCCACTTTGTTTTATAATGTAATGTAGAAAAGTATATGGGTTAGATGGATATGCATGCAACTTTGCTTACACAGAAGACAGCATCTCCAACTTAACAAGTTGTACAGCTACAGTAAACATCTTTTAGCAAAGGCTTTGTGTAACTCTGAAGGAAATGGAAGAAGCTTTTGATTCAGACTACGTACTTTTTATGTATACCAAGCAAAGAGAATGTCATTTGCAGACCACAGTACACATAGAAGCAATCCTCAGGTTTTGGCTAAAAGGAAAAGACGACAACAGTCACTACTTTTGTAAAGTTGGGTGAGTATGATCAATTCCTTAACATAGTCTACAGATGCTCATCAAGTTTAGCTCCTTAATTTAGAGTGAACGATGAACTGCCTGACTTCCTAGTTTTGGCTCTTAGAAGCATTAAGGTTATCTATGATGGGTGTCCTGAAAAGGAGTAGAACTCTAATCCTCTAACATCATTCAAAGTTAGGACACAGGGCATTGTTCAGTTCTAAGAAATCCAGTTCAACAGAGCTAATTCTCTTTATTCAGATGGAGAATGTGTTCGGCAACATGGAAAGCTCCTTTGCCTATGCTTCCTTCTGCTTTCCCAGTGGATAAGATCTTGGAATACAGTAGATTCCTACCAGCACAGATTAGCATTAAGGTATGTTTGTGAGTAGCACATGAATCAGCAGCAGGCTCTACAAGTGCGGTGACTGTGACTCCTTGGTGCTGGGCTTCTGTGAGAGCTTCATGACAAGCAATTATTGGTGGCTCTACCAGTGTCATGAAAGTAGAAGAGTTTCGGTATACGTTGCTACTTCGTCCTATCTGCTGTATCCTACTGTGATAGTTCACTGTACAGATGCACTTGTGTTCTTCAGACACAAGCTGTTAGGTTCCAAGCCTGCAGATCTCTTCCACAAAGAAACATGCAAGTTTCTACACCTCACAATTAGCATTCCATTTCATTCTTCACTACTTCAGCTGTTGCTGCTTCAGCACACACACACGCACACAGTTCTTACAGTGAAGGCTAAACAGCAGTAACGCAGTAAGACGACACTGTTTCGTTCGAAGACAGTGACCGGGAGACTGTGGCGTACACGCCAACATTTATGAGCAGGCCCACCTCGAAGAGACGTGGCATGATAGGTGCCATCCATTTCCTTCTTGCCACCCATCCGGTGATGGAGCCTTTTCGCCCTTTACCATGCCAAATTACCATGAAGTCCTCACACCACCTTTTAATTTTCTCTGATTACCCCCCCAAACCCTTTAGAGACTTTGAGTACTTTCTAGTAATTTCCGCACCAATAATTGAAGAAAAACCCTCACCATCTGTTCTATGTATTGACACAATTCTTTATTGTTTATGATTTCATGACTTTTCTTCAGCCTTTAATTGCCCTTTAAATAGCCTCCCATGCTTCCACCACCCTCTCGCTCTCTCATACCAAAGCCCTCCTCCCAAGTCCCACCTTAGCTCTCTCTCTCTCTCTCTTTATTTGCATAAGGACCTTCCAAAAAGGGTAAACGGACAGTGCCTGACAAGGTCCAAATGGAGTCGTCGAGCGCAGCCAAGAGGCTATGGCACATAGCGAGGGTGGTGTTCTACATGCTCCGGAAAGGCCTCGCCAAGGACAAACTCATGATGGATCTCCACCTCCTCCTCAAGCGCGGCAAGATCGCCGGAAAAGCCATCGGTAACCTCGTGACCTTCCACCACCACCACCACCATCATGGCGTCACCTCCATGAGCTCGGCCTTCTCGTGCCGGTCCATGGACCCCAGCCGCTCCTTCTACAGCCCCAAGGCGGTGGAGTTCAGCTGCAGCAACACTCCCTCACGCCCGTCCTTCCATGCCATCAAGCGAAGGAACCGCCACCGCCGCTACGACTACGACTATGACGCCGTGGCGGTAGCGAAGGCGTTTGAGATACTCAACTCCCAAGTGTCCGATGCCGAGTCGGTCATGGCATCGCCATCTCCATCCCCGATGAACTGGAGCTTTGGGAAGAGCCCGGCTGGGGCGCGCCAGCTAAGGATCACGGACTCGCCCTTCCCATTGAACGAGGAGGGTGAGGAGGTGGGCACCCATATCGATCAGGAGGCGGAGGAGTTCATCAAGAGGTTCTACCAGCAGCTTCGTCTACAGCAGTGGACACCGATGACACCGGAATACAAACAGTACAGGAATGACTTACTGGGACGAGCCTGAGATGGTCTTCTTACTTGATATAAAAGGTGAATCTATGCTGCTTACTTCTGCTTTGCTTTCGGTATATCCTTTGGCCATCATAAAGGGAGTTGTAATCTTCGTAGGCCTTACAGGATAAACTCTTTGTCACACCTCAACTATGGACGTTCTAAATGGTTCATCTTTTCATACTTCTCTTCTCTCTCTCTCTCTCTCTCTCTCTGTACTAAATCAAGGCATATGAGATAAATTCGGAAACTAAAAGACCAATTCACCATGATGAAAATGGCTTAGTAATTACCGATTGTCATGTCAAAAATAATGTCATATAAAATGACACTCAATCGCAATATACTTTATGCCTTTATGATAGATATTGTTGCGAGCGATCTGAATACGTTAGAGTTGAGTTGTGTGGAAGATTGAAATAAGACCCATAAATGGTAAAGTAATCTATTGTACTATCAACAACAGCACCATATTTTGACTCGGGACTTAGAATAAGCAACAGCACTTTGTTTCTTACTCCTCTAAAACAATCAAAAATCCAAAAAAAATATAGTAGCAAAACATTTATTAGTGGGATAAAGAGTTATTTGAAAATTGAAGCCCATTAAAAATTATTCTGTTTATACAAAAGATTTAATTATTCTGTAGATAAAGAGTTATATATTTTAAGGGATCTCTGTACATAATCTAATATTTGATTCAATACATGTAGATAATATTTGGCTTAAGTCATAAGTTCTGAGGCATATGTTAATCATAAGAAGAAGATACTTCAATCCCAAAAATATGTAAGAGAGTCAAGATCATTAATTTTAAATTATTAAGTAAAGAAGCTTTGATTAAATCATTAATTTTAAATATGTAAGCCATGTTTTGCCGAGGAAAGAAGCAATATCATAAACACTCAATTGAAAATTTGATGATAACAGAGCATAATTAAACTTGTTTGGCAATTGAGAAATATATTTTTGATATCCATTTGATAGAGTTTCCAATGACACATAGCTAAAAGAGCAATATGGGTTATAACTATAGTCAATCCTGCTGAAGTAAATATTTCCTCATAATAAATATCATATTCTTGAATAAATCCCGTAGGGTTTTGTTTATTATTATTATTATTATTATTCTCATAAGCATAATAAATTACAATCTTCATCAAGATTGTGTTATTTACGAACATAATAAGTTATGAGACTCAATTGGTGAAGACCGAAGGTGGAGGGTGATCCGACGAGGGTCTTCTTCCAAAATGAGTGGCATCGACCTCTAGTGTGCAATGGAGTTAAGCCTTTTGATATAACAATAATGGAGGCATTAGGGCACTGGTCAATATACTAGTCAGGGTGGTGATAGCTCACCGAGGCTGACCTCTGGTTAAGAGGAAGACTCGATGGTCACAAGGAAGATGATAGATGAAGATCAAAGTGATAGAAGATAAGATTTCCCTAACTATATGAGGAAAATCTCTCTATTATGTTGAGAAAAATTCTCTCCTAATATGTATAAATAGGAGAGGGACATGTTAATGTATTCAAGTTAAAGTTATTTGTCCATGTCCATGGTATGTCATAGCGAAGTCTTTGAAGAAGGATCCGAGGACAATTACAATGACAGGGGAATCAGATGAGAAGAAGACTATCACAATATAGATAGAAGTGAAACGAGAAAAACAAAAAACTTAAGAACTTTATTATATATTTTGTATATGTCACAATCCTATTCGTAGGATTGAAGACAATCAAATCAATCACATAAATAAGAAGAGATCCCTTTACCAACTTCAAAAACAAGTCTCATCAAAACTTATATATCAACAGCATGGGCAATACATAAAATCACAAAATCAGTATGATATGTAATTAATAATAGCATGATAATAAATTTGACTTCACTGTCAATGTATCACAGAACTAGCGCAACCTGATTCCGAATATAATAGATAAATGCTAATCATGCATATATCATTAAGTTAGATGTTGACTTTTCATTTAATTTCTTCCAAATGACTTGATTGTTGTTCAAACCCACCCACTCGTAGCACTGTAGAGAAAGCAAATCTTAACTTGTTTTCAGTCCATTTCTTACGGTCAACAAAAGTCTACTCTCACTATGGCCCACCGACCACTTTGACGTGTCTTCTCTAGCTAGCTCTTCGAGAACCCTAATTGCCATCTCAACATGTTTTAGAAGTTTCTTGTCGTAAAACATAAGAAAGTCGTTCAAAACCAGCTCTTCATCAATCAATCATGGTGGTGTTCGAGGGGATTGTATGAGGGAGAATGCTAACACGACTCATTAGGTGCCAAGAAGGACGAAGCTACAAGCACCAAGTCCTTGTTTCCACATTAAAACCTTGTGCCCCACGAAGAAAAAGACATGGTGTCCATCAATAACAATGATTGAGGGCAATGACTAGTGCTCTACTGGCTCCGATTTGATGCAATCTCTTTGAATAGCCTAAACATAATTGAAGTCTGACCTGTAAAGTGCTTGCCAATGAGAAGTTAGATATCATCTTTGGAATTGCATGTCTTTGTACACCCATAACTAGGTCTTGTAGCCACACATGAAGATATGCAAGACCTTGGTGCAAATTGTGAGAGAAACGAATGCACGCCATATGCGACTGAATCATTCAACCATATTTTGGGATCTAATGGTTTGCATGGCCATCACTGCTTTATGGTATTATTATTGGTGTGGGTGATGGAACAGATAGGTGGGGAAGAGAGTGACCTCATTAAAGAGTGGTTTGGAAACTAAGGTGGCAACAATGGCGGTGTATTATTGGGAGGAGGTCTCCCTCAAAGCATTTAAGCCTGGTTGACGCAACCCCGCAAGGGAATTTGATCGAACACCTAAAGCCTCCTTCGATGAGCTCAGTCTTCTCTCAGCATTTTCTCAAACAAACGACTCTTAATTGTGACTGAATTGATTATGCATTTCCTATTGACTTACGTAATAAGTTGTGGCATAATGCCACAATTAATGAAGTCGCAATACGTTTTAATATGTCCTTTGGAAAATAATAAAAGAAGAAAAAATAAACTCTAATTTGAAATCTTTATCCTAATTAATGTTTTCAACTCTAATAGGTGTGATTGTTGATAGGAAATATTTTGACAATCAATCGTATCCCTCCGGCTATCATTACAAAGGTATTAACATAAAAAAATAAGAGCTTTGCCATAAGCACTGATATAAAGGAAGATATATCATGTTGGTCCCGTGAAAGATAGTCCATAGGGGGTTATTTGGGCTGACTCAGTTAGCCTCCGTAGATAGTAATATATAGATTGTAGTAAATTTTGGGGTTGACATTAGCGAAAGAATATAAAAATAAAAATCCTCAAATTTTTCATAAATTGTGTTCGCCATCATGCAAAGATTGATACACAAAATCCACAAAACTGAAAACTACTTATATGAAAGATTGTATTACCTAGGGAGATTATATATTCCTAAATCCTTGCATATCTATAGGAGAGGGTGAATGAGGTCAAATATCCTCTTCTCTAGCGGTGATCCACACAGTAAGGCTACGATGATACTCTTCAAATCTCCAAGCCTGTTATCTAAGGAGAAAAAAGGGAAGAGGAGAATAGGAGATGACAACCAAAAACCTCTGACCTATGAGCTTTTGGTTCCCTCCTATTTATAGAGGTCTCCTATCAACTTAACCCTAATAGATCATACCCTCTTGGGTACTGGATCTTCATCCAACTACCAAAGCCTTTTAGATTAGTGGATCTCTATCCAATAATCTCTCATTGACTCTTATTGGATGTCATATAGGATCCAATAATTCATTGGCTTATTAGACGTTAAATAAGATAGGAGCTCTGACGAATATCTCATATTCGAACCTTACATGTCGCAATGTCTATTATATGTATGTGACCCTCTAGGCCCAATATTAAGTTGACTATAAGTCATATCTATCAGAACTCCTTCTAGCTTAGTGAATTATTGTCTCTAAAATAATTCACTCGACTTATCGATTACGAACGTACTAGGTCACTACGTCACAGTCCCTAGACGATATAGGGGAATCCAATTCATTAGACTTATCTGTCTTCAGTTACCATGTATCTATATCCCTTTATTCATCTAATATCCCAAAGATCATATACCAGGCATGGTGTTGTCAGACCTATATGGTTTCTACTCGAGTCTCACTCTATTCGGATTCTCCCAGAGAACTCTTTCTCTCTCAATTTGAATGACCATAGCTAGGGATTTGTTTGTGCAAGAATATATGAGATATTCCTCTCATAACACTGAGAGTGGATGATCCTCTATCAATACTCAATAATCCTCATAAGGTTGACTACCACTTCCGATGGTCAGTTGTGCTAGATTTGAAACTTCCAAACCTATAAGTTCGGTATCAAATAGTGGAGTACTCATATAGGATATCCTTGGTATCTCAAGTTTAAGGATCATGTACACCATTGCGACAATGGAATTACTATCTGATAATAAGGTATCATTAACTATTTAGCATATCGTGAGCAGATCAATCTAAAAACTCATTCTCTAATGAGCACATGCACTGTAGTCTTAGTTTCCCCACATGAGCAGCTATGAGATTAACTGTCTCTATCATATGTACGGGTATACAATACACCAGTTTGTCCAGTTATTTCAATGTCTTTCTCGAATAACCTATGACCATGATTATTTATGACCTATATTTAAAGGCAAATTAGTTTCATTATCATGATCTCATTACAATCTGATTCTCATTGCACAGATCCATGGACATCATAATATTAAATAATAATAATAATAAGTAAAAAGACTGTGTGTCAAGTCACACGTGTCATCACTTATGTGATTCGCTTGTAGGGCACCTATGACTAGCATGAGTGATCGATTGGATCTACCCTCCTCGATCGATCCCCACGAGCAAAACGTTAGGGGAAAGATATTATGATTGTTATATGCTTGTTGCCCCCATGGACGAAATGCCAGAGTAAAGGCATTACGACCATTATAGACTTGTCGCCTCATTGACAGAGTGTCAGAGGGAAGACGTTATGATTGTTATAGGCCTACCGTCTCCTATTAACCGAATGCCAAAGAGAAGACGTTATGGTCATTATAAGCCTACTACCCCTATAGATAGAACATTAGTGGGAAGCCATTACAGTCATTACAAGTGATTTATATGATCGAATAGGTATAAAAGCCAACCCGTAACACTAGTTGAGGGGGTCAGATCTCTTTCCAATTGATCCTTGTACATTATAAAACTATCATAAAGTTAATTTGGGAGTCCAAGAGGTTATATCGAGAAACACCCTCGATATTGATTTTTGTATAGAAAATCATCAATAAATTGGAATCCACCTTAGCTCTTTCTCGAGCCCACCTCAGATTTTTTTAACTCCATTCAAAACACCATCTCAATATCACCTCATCTACTTCGAGGCTCGATCAATTATCACAAAGAACTATCATGTGAATTTCTCAAACGCCCTGTGCCTTTATATCCAAGCTGACTCACGATCGACAGTTTGATACCATAACAATTGTATACTTCTTAATATATTAAAAAAAAGTGATATATATATATATATATATAAACTAATTAATATATTTAAAAAATATATCCAATAAAATTTTAGACCTTCGATCATTAGTAAGTCCATATAGTGCATTACGATTATGATCAAACCAACATCTTACACGTAAACTTTGTCGAACAAGACTTCTAAGTTAATTTGATAGATACACAAGTAAACGAACACATCATCCTATAGACACTCAATTAAATATGTTACTTCGGTCATAATGTTTTATTTTTTGTCCGAGAAAACATGAGATGTCGGAGCTTTTAAGTCACGTAAGGCCCAATTTTACTGTGAGAACGGCCCAATACTGTATTCGTTTCTATTTTCCTGGGCTTTAAACCTTTCTCATGAATTGGGCTTAAGAAAATACCACACAATACTATATAATTAGCCGATCCTGAGAATTAGGCAAGATTAGGTCTAGCTTTACTTGATCCACTATATCTTGTATGAAGCTACGCTAAGATTTGATTCTCATTTACACTCGTAATGAATCGTAGACTGTTTACTAGTCTTGGTTCGGTGGGATTGTCAAAGATCCATAGCAATAGATTTGGGTGGTCTTTATAGGACACCTTCGTTAGATTAAACGTGACATGATCACCCGATTTCTTTTCCTGTGCTTTTTAGATTCGGGATCGAGTTTACTCAATAGTCAATTTTGTATATTCGGTTAGGTGTCTTTTTGTTGTTGACTCGAGGTCAAGTCGAGTCAACGATCCCCACAAATTTGGGCCGTTCCTATGACAGCATGCGTGCGCCGCGTGGGAGTCATGTTGCTCGTGTCAACCACCCTTCCACCGATGCCATCATGAGATCCGTCTCAGGTACTTTATCCGTTACTGATTTAGTCGGATCAGTTCATGTCGCCATTGCCCCACGCAATCCATCGGTGCTCAAGAAGCTTCAGATGGACGCAGAACCATACAAAGCTGCCTTCTTCTTCTTCTTCTCTCCCTCGGCGCATCTCCTGCGCAGCTCGATTCTTCTATGGCTTCCCCTCCTCTTCATCTCCGAAGCCGCCGTAGCCCACGGCGATGACCAGGAGAGACTCGTCCTCTTCGACATAAGAAGTCATTGGAGCAACGCTCCTGCGCTGAGCTCGTGGGACGTCTCCTCCCCCTACTGCAACTGGCCAGGAATCCGCTGCAGCAATGGCTCGGTCACTTCCATGTCTCTCCCCAATATAAACATCACTGAACCCATCCCACCCTTCTTCTGCAACCTCACCAGCCTCACTCACCTCGACCTCTCTTACAATGAAATCCCTGGCGGCTTCCCGACTTGTCTCTACAGCTGCTCCAACCTCCAGTACCTCGACCTCTCTCAGAACTTTCTCGTTGGGGAGCTGCCTTCTGATATCCATAAGCTGTCGTCGCAGCTCCTTCACCTTGATCTCTCTTATAACAACTTCACCGGCGACATCCCTCCTTCCATCGGCCGGCTCCTCTCACTCCACACCCTCAATCTTCACTGCAATTTCTTCGATGGCTCGTTCCCGGCTGAGCTCGGTAACCTTTCCATGCTCGAAAGCCTCACTCTCGCTTACAATCCTTTCGCCAGTCCGCGCATCCCGGTCGAGTTCGGGAACATGACGAGACTGAAGTACCTGTGGATGACCTATGCCAACCTGGTCGGCGAGATCCCGGAGGATCTCGGGCGGCTGGCAGAGCTTGACCACCTCGACCTCGCGCGGAACGGTTTAAGTGGCTCGATTCCTGCAGCCATATGGTCGCTGGAGAAGCTGACGACGCTCTACTTGTACGATAACAAGCTGACGGGAGAGATTTCCGGCGAGATCGCGGCTTCGAACTTGGAGGAGATCGATGTCTCGATGAACCGGCTGACGGGATCGATACCGGAGGAATTCGTAAATCTCCACAATCTCCGCATTCTGTTCATGTATAACAATAGCCTGTCCGGTGAGATCCCCAGAGGCATCGGCCTCCTTCGCGATCTCCGGGACATCAGGCTCTTCGACAACCACCTAGTCGGTGTCTTGCCGCCGGAGCTCGGGCAGCAGTCCCATCTGACCAATCTTGAGGTGTCCAACAACAGAATCTCCGGCAGCTTGCCCCAAGGCCTCTGTGCAAACAGAGCACTTAAGTCGGTGGTGGTCTTCAACAACAACCTCACCGGGGAGCTGCCGGCTTCTCTCGCCGATTGCTACGGGTTAAACGACATTCAGCTCTACAACAACAACTTCTCCGGCGAGTTCCCCGGACGAATTTGGTCGGCATCAGTGAACTTGACCACCGTGCTGATCGACCGCAACCACTTCACCGGCGTTCTGCCGGACAAGTTGCAGCCGAACCTGACTCGGCTGGTGATGAACGACAATAGGTTTTCCGGAAGGATCCCCACACGGGCGCCGAGACTATTGGTGTTTCGGGGAAGCAACAACATGTTCTCCGGCGAAATTCCGGCGGAACTCACCGGAATGTCGAGGCTCCAGGTTCTTTTGCTCCACGGAAATCGGATCTCTGGTTCGATACCGACAAGCATTTCCAATTTGAAGTTCCTCACCCAGCTTGATCTCAGCGACAACCACCTCTCAGGAGGTATCCCGGCCAAGCTGGGGTTGCTCGAGGTGCTCACCAAGCTCGACCTCTCGAACAACCGGCTGTCGGGATCGATACCGCCTGAAATCGGCAACCTTAAGCTCAACCTCCTTAACCTGACCTACAACAAGCTCACCGGCGAGGTACCTCTGCAGTTGCAGAACCGAGCTTACGAGCGGAGCTTTCTATCCAATCCTGGCCTCTGCTCATCCAAGCGTATAGAAAATCTCAATATCTGTGCACATGCCGGCCCAAACAAGCTATCAGAGAGACTGATCCCAATCTCTTTGGTGCTCGGTGGGGTTATGTTCTTGATGCTAGCTGTGACCGGAATGTTGATTTGCCGGCGAAGATCCGACGCCGCTGACCTTTCAGCATGCAAGCTGACTTCGTTTCATCAGCTGGACTTCACACAACGTCATATAATACGTGGACTCACAGAGGCAAGCCTCATCGGCAGCGGAGGATCAGGTCAGGTGTACAGGGTCAACCTCGAGAACCGCGCCGGCGACGCTGTGGTGGCCGTGAAGAAGATTCGGAATAGTGGACAGCTGGATTGGAAGATGGAGAAGGCCTTCGAGGCGGAGGTCAAGGTACTGAGCTCGATACGGCATTGCAGCATCGTGAAGCTCCTGTGTTGCATCTCGAGCGCAGACTCTAAGCTCCTGGTCTACGAGTACATGGAGAAGGGGAGTCTGGACCAGTGGCTTTACGGGAGGCGAAGGACAAGGACGGGTTCAGGGCATTTCCAGCCACCGCTGGATTGGCGGAAGAGGCTCGGGATCGCGATCGACGCAGCCAAGGGATTGTGCTACATGCACCACCACTGCACTCCGCCGGTCATCCATCGCGACGTGAAGTCCAGCAACATACTCCTGGACTCGAACTTCGGAGCAAAGATCGCCGACTTCGGCTTGGCACGGATGCTGATGAAGGCCAGCGAGCCGGAGTCTGCGTCGGCCATAGCAGGAACCTTTGGCTACATGGCTCCAGGTGAGGTCCTAATTTAGCACCTACTCCATCACCACTCCGGTTCATTGACAGAGGCCGTAATCGTGGTTGCAGAGTGTGGACACTCGAAGAAGATCAACGAGAAGGTGGACGTGTATAGCTTCGGGGTAGTGCTTCTGGAGTTGACGACAGGAAGGAAAGCGCAAGATGGTGGTGAGCACGAAGGCTTAGCAGGGTGGGCTGCTCGCCGCCTGAGAGAGAAGGGTGGCTTCATGGAGATGATAGATGAGGAGCTAAGTGACGAGGTCAACTATACGGATGACATCGGGACGGTGGTAAGACTGGGAATAGAGTGCACGAGGAGGAATGCTGTGGTGAGGCCATCCATGAAGGAGGTGCTGCGAAAGCTGACGGAGATAGTTGGACTGGGCCGTTCATAACGTGTGCGCCATGCAGACTCACACACAAAAGGATCCGATCACCAAACTATACATAGACTCACTCCAAGCAAATAGGTTGGAATTGGTGAGATACACAACCCACGGAGCTAAGACACAACACAGTTCGCCATAGTCAATCTTCATCTCAAAAGAAGCCATGCTTTAGACTTATAACCCTCTCGACAGCATATGCATGATAATAATAATAATCTACAAGATGAGACTGATTCGATAAATATGTTTTTCTGATACCTCCTTGAGAGTGAAACCTTTCGGAATAGAAAAATCTTAAAAATTACATCGAGGCACATCCAATAAAATCTATTCGATACTTAAATTAGAAAAGAACACAAATTATAATGGCTTTTGAAAGACTGGGTGGACAAGAATCCCCAGAATTCATCTTCCTCTATCTTGTTCCACCACTTCTTTTAATGCCTATATATTCCTTGGTGTAAAAGAAGGTGGCCATCATTAGCATTATCAAATCTTTATGCCTAAATCCTACAGGTATATGCATGTGTATGGTAGGTTGGAGTTGCACACAGGAGGCATCAAAGGAAAGAGAACCTTCCTAAAAAGCAGTTCATTTGGAGCATCCACAAAGGAACCCCATGTTCGAATAATTCTTCTTGCAATTTCTTTATGGGACCGAATCTGGCGAGCCCTGACATGGATAACCCCAGGCATGTCCTTTGTAGAGCATCCAACATCTCCCACAAAGAGAAAGAGATGAGCATTGCCTTTATGAGGGAGGCCAAGAAAAGGATACACACAGATGCATTCTCTCCTTCTTGGATCCAAATCTGCATGCACATACATATAAAGGCATCCATTGTCTCAGGACAAGAATTCTCCAAATGATTGCAACGATGATTCGGGATTAATTACTTTGATGAGCTCTTAGTTACTGCGTGGAGGACCGAGCAAGTTAATCCAACAAGCTGTTCATTTCAAGTGCTGCTGAGAAACTATGAAGAAGCTTCGACAAAGCTCTCTTCATGCACGTCCAAAGAAATAGAAATTTCTAGGAAAGAGACCACCATGCAACGTTACACACACACACACACTCTCTCTCTCTCTCTCTCTCTCTCTCTCTCTCTTGTGAGGTAACAAAGCCATCGACTAAAGTTGGGAAGCAGCATCTCGGAGAACAAGCAGAATAGGATTCTGCTTAAAGCAGTCATTGAAGAGGCGCTTTTCTAAGCATAGAGAATTTGAGGAGGGTATTAGGGTTAGGTTTAGCTTATTTCTATCATCTCCTTATTACTACTTATAGTAAATATGCATTTAAGTTAATATAGCATGATGTATTCTTTTACCTGAAAATAAAAAGAAATGAGTCATAAACATCTGGAAATTGGTATATATGTCAATGACTCACTTGTCAGCATTAGGTGCAGAGTATTAACTTCATAAAATATGAGTAGAAACAGGCCTTTGTCAGCTTTCATTTAACAAAGAAAAGAAAAAGAGAGATAAATATTTTCATATATAATGTCTCAAAAGAATCATACAGCACTAGTGGAAGCAGCACAGGTGTTGGGAGTGTGCAGGCACAAAATCTACCATGGGGGGGGCAACAAACATCATATTTGTTTATGAGAAGTTCAGACTAAAAGAAATTGGAACATTTTAAAGAAAGATTTAAAAAAGTGATTTATATTTTCAGCACGCAAGTCAGTATTGATGAGCAACAATTACAAGAACAAGTAGTTCTTTCACATACCATAATTCTTGTTGTTTTCTGCCTTCTTCCCTTTTGTTATACAAGGAAGAAGAAAAACACATGAACAACAAGGCAAAAGAAGAAGATATTAGTAATAGTTACACTTAAAACAATCAAAATAGTAACATTAGTTGAGATGAAATGGGTAGGATGGGAGGTGTTGAGTTACTCTGGTCATTTTTACCCCTTCTGTCAGCTAGCAAACAGCATAAGCTTTCTCTTCTGTCTCTTTCTTCTCTTAATCTCTTCATTCTCTCTTTTATTCTCAACCTGGTTCTGCTCCTTGATATATAAGAACTGATACTGATGGTAGTAGTAAAGGATAATTTTCTCTTTTTCCTCATCCCCCATGATGATTTGGATTGTCAGATTGCCAGAAGGGAAAGTGCCATTCCGTCTCTTGGGAGTGTGCAATTGATGTTTCCTGCCAGAGAAAGATAGAGAGAATGCAAAGGTTAGAAGACATGCAAAATTTGATTTCCAATTTTCTATAAAAGATAAAAGCGAAGAAATACAATAGATAAGCATGAATTATTTGTCATAATCATATATTTTTATCTTATGAAAAGTTGCTACATTTTCTCATCTTCATTTTGGAAAAGGAAAAGAGAGAAGAAATAACAACAGACATAGAATACAATGTCTTGGATATTTCAGAACTATGAGAAGATGCACAGAAATGAAGTCGAGACACAAAAGAGTAGAAAAGAGTCTCTTGTTTCCTTTGCCTTTCTCTTTCTAAACTAAATGCAAAGAATAATATACTTTAAGACTATTAAGGGTCTAAGCAAGAAAGAAAGGCAGCCAACAAAACCAAGCTTGTCTTTTTGACCTGCATTGCACCAAAGCAAGCAAGAAATTCTCTGTTTCTTATATGAAACCATATGATCCAAGTAAAAGAGAAATGATGCAACCTGCCATCTTCATATGAAACCATATGATCCCTATCCTTTGATTTTGTGTTGACTACAAGAACTAGAATTTGCTCCCAAAGGAGAAAAATATTTAGCACATCTCCATCTTTATTGTTAATGCTAGACTTTCTATCTTTGCATAGTGAATTGGCATTGACTTTGTTATTAGCTGCAGGTAGTCATGATAGATCAACCTGAGAAGAAAACATGAAACGGAAAAAAGAAAGGAAGTTTTAGGTGGTTGATGATTTCACTCACGTTAGTTCTAGCTGAAGTGCAACTCATGACCAGTTCTTCCAGGCCGGAAGCAGATCTATGGTCCAGCTTTTGTTGCAATTCCAGTTGCTGCTGTCTCACAATGAAGTTAATTTCCAACAAGATTAAACTATCGGTCTTTCCAAATTGCACTGCCGTACCTGAAATTTATCGGATTGAAGAAGTATCCTTGAGACTTGATATGGGTCTTCGAGAACCATTGACGTCTGCCGGTGTGGATGAGTCGAGACGATGGCCGGGATGGGGTGCATAGGCCTGGTAATGTGGAATGCTGCGGTCGGCACCACCTGCAGTTGCTGCAGATGCTGATGCTCCTGAGCCACTTGATGATGTGGTGATCCAACGAGGTGCTCGTGCTCTGAGTGCTCATCTCGTGCCTTCGGTTCCTCTCCCACTGCCACCTGTTCAACACTCACAAAACAAGTTCCAACTCAAATCCTTCTCTTCTGCCCTAGATTCTCTTCCCCGGTTTTGGTAGGGAAGTTGCACCAAATGAAGCTACCATGCACTGTGCTGTAATAGTCGCAAGGGTTCTTAGGGTTGCTTGTGTTTTGTGCAAACTGATGTGACATTGCTTTCGTTTTTCATGCGCTATCGACTGAGAGTTGATTGCAGAAAGAATCTAGTTTGAACATGCATGCACTGAGACACATTCAACATTCACGGATCGAAGAATTGGAAAGTAGGCAAGAATTTGAAGTCGAGAAATTAATTACCTCATTGAAGCTTTCTCTAAAAGGAGCAAAGCTAAAGTTGTCAGGCTTCATCAGGTGCTGATGCATCTCCATGCTACTGTAAGAATGCTCATCCCTCTTGCTAACTAAATCAGAGGAACAACTTGCACCGCCACTGTCCCTAATTTGATCCATCCCCTCCGCAGTTGCTGCCGCTGTTGTGCTGCTCTTATCGGACCAAGTGCACTGCCTTGGCTGGGTCTGGAAGAAGATCTTGGACACGACAAGCTCACCTTCCTTCTCCTCCTCCGACTCCCCCAGGTGGTACTGGTGCATGACCCAGTTGGTCTTCTCGGGCTTCCTGTGCTTCCCAAAGTTGGTGTACAGGACCAGTATCTTCTTGCACCCCTTCTGCTTCCCATTGACCATCACAGGTCTCGTCTTCCCTGTCTTGTGCCACCTGGTTTCGCCTCTCTGAAGGTCGCACGTCGACTGGATTTTCCTTCTTTTCCTTGTGCCGGTGGTGTAGGCCTTGGATGGCCTGTGGAAGAAGTGCTTGCTCAGGCCATCCCTTCTCACACCTGCAGCCAAAGGCAGAGGTTTTTCTTGGCAGATCAGCTTCCTAGAGAGGTAATCCAACCGACTCACGAGAAGTAAACAAACTCAAGCATAGAATTCAGAGAACTAAGGAGTCGAGGGTGGGTGTAACTCCTCTAACCTGGGAGCTTCTCAGGATGGGTGTAGCAGATGCCATCGTCGCCTTCGATCGTCGGGATGAACTCATCTATCAGAGGATGGGATGTCAAATCTTCTGCCTTCACCTTCGCTTCCAGGTGCTCTACCAATTCTTGATCTGTCGGATCGAACTTCACTCCTGCGGGCAACCCCACCCAATCCTGCAATCATCAACCATTAACTACACCAAGTCTTGCTTTCGTCCGAGATCGGTCACTGCGACTTTGAAGAGAGTATCAGTAGTACAATTTGGTTGTGTTTCCTTACCGGCTTGCGATCGAGCTTGTGGCCACACCCAGGGCACTGTTTGGAAACACTCACACGATGCTGTACCAGCTTGGCGTCGATGAGAGACGAAGTGCTGACCTTGGGACTTGTGTTCATGGCTGCTTCATGGGCATCAAGATCTTAGGTTCGTAAACATATATGTTCACTTTGTGGCTACTCGATCTTGCTTTCAGAATGGAGAGCTGAAATCGGAACCAAAATTAGAGGAGGTATCAGACAAACCAGCAAGAAAATAGGAATCGGCTAAACGACAACAACTACAAGTAATGCCATATCGAACCAATTCAGGAACCTCAGCTGAAGCATAATGCTGCAGATGGAACGGAGGAGAGAAAGAGTGGAAGAAGGAAGAAGGGGAGTTGAAAAAGGAGAAATTGAGAACGTGTTCTTGATCTATAAACAACCTCTTTGGGAGGACAATATACTGCGATACCTTCTACTTTAATTGAAGCCCGTGGCCATTAGAAAAAGGAAAAGGTTCTCAACATGAATACTCCTTCACTCACCAATACCTCCAAACCTACAGCTAAAACAAGCTGCCTCATACCCCAAAGAGAGAGAGAGAGAGAGAGAGAGAGAGAGAGAGAGGTAGGGTTAGGGTT